CACCCTCCGCCGTCTCTCCGGGGCTCCCCGGGGTTCCAATTTTGGGGGGGGGTCCCACAGGGAATGGGCGTGGCTCGCAGAGGGGGCAGGGGGGCGTGGCCAGCGCAGGCCCCGCCCCTTCGGACAGCGATCGCTGCGCTCGGCGCCGCCCCCCTTCCTCGGCCCCGCCCCCCGGGCACAGACTGCGAGGGGGCGGGGCCAAGCTGGGGCGGCGCTGGAGGGCGGGGCCTGAGTGGGCGTGGCCAAAGTGGGCGTGTTCGAAATGGGCGTGGCCACGGCTATGGGGCGCCATTGGGGTTTGGGTGCCATGGGGCACGTGGGCGCTATGGGGTGTCGCAGTGCTGCTGTAGGGCGATGGGGTGCTATGGGGTGTCGGGGGACTGAAGGCGCTTTGGGTGCTATGGGGCACGTGGGCGCTATGGGGCGCTGAGGTGCTGCTATGGGGTGTTGGGGGACTGAAGGCACTTTGGGTGCTATGGGGTGCTGAGGTGCCGCTATGGGGTGTCGCAGTGCTGCTGTAGGGTATCAGCGTGCCATGAGGTGATGGACTGCTATAGGGCGATGGGGGGCTATGGGGTGTCGGGGGACTGAAGGCACTTTGGGTGCTATGGGGCACGTGGGTGCTATGGGGTGCTGAGGTGCCGCTATGGGGCGCTGAGGTGCCGCTATGGGGTGTCGCAGTGCTGCTGTAGGGTGTCAGTGTGCCACGAGGTGATGGACTGCTATAGGGCGATGGGGGGCTATGGGGTGTCGGGGGACTGAAGGCACTTTGGGTGCTGTGGGGTGCTGAGGTGCCGCTGTGGGATGTCGCAGTGCTGCTATAGGGTGTCAGTGTGCCACAAGGTGATGGACTGCTATAGGGTGACGGGGTGCTATGGGGTGTCGAGGGGCTATGGGGCACGTGAGTGCTGTAGGCACTTTGGGTGCTATAGGGCGCCTGGGTGCTCTGAGGTGCCGGAGTGCTGCTATAGGGTGTCAGGGTACCATAAGCAACAGGAGGGCTGTAGGATGCTGTGGGTCTATAGGTTGGGGGGCTGGGGGGCGGGGGGCTATAGGGTGTCAGGGGGCTGTGGGGAGATGGGGGGCTGTAGGATGCCGTGGGGCTGCAGGTCATTGGGGTGCTGTAGGGTGTCGGGGTGCTATAGGGCGGGGAGGGGCTGTAAGGCGTGGGAGGGCTGTAGGACGCGGGGGGGCTGTAGGATATTGGGGGGCTGTGGGCTGTGGGGCTGCTATGGGGCGCTGCGGCACTGTGAAGCACCGAGTGGCCGTGGGGTGTCGGGGTGCCATAGGGCTCCAGGGGGCAACAGGGCGCGGCGGCGCCATGGGGCACAGGGTCAGCATGGGGGGGCAGGGCGCTATAGGGCACGAAGCAGCTGTGGGGCACGGGGTCGCTCTGGGGTGGCAGGGTGCTATAGGGTGCTGAAAGGCTACGGTGCACGGGGCAGCTATGGGGCACGGAGCAGCTATGGGGCACGGGGCAGCTATGGGGCACGGGGTCCCTGTGGGGCGCCAGCGTGCCATAGGATGCCGCAGCGTTACGAGGCACGGGGTCCCTATGGGTGCCAGGGCCGCTATGGGGCACGGTGGTGCCATAGGATGCCGCGGCGCTATGGGACGCAGGGCTGCTATGGGGCGTGGGATCTCTATAGGGCGCAGAACCTGCATGCGGTGCCACGGGGCCGTAGGGCACGGGGTCTCTGTGGGGCGCAGGGCCGCTATGGGGCGCCACGATGTTATGGGGCGCAGAGTCTGGATGGGGCACGGGGCCGCTATGGGGCGCCACGATGTTATGGGGCGCAGAGTCTGGATGGGGCACGGCGTCACTGCGGGCGCTATGGGGCACGGCGGCGCTATGGGGCGCCACGATGTTATGGGGCACAGAGTCTGGATGTGGCACCGAGTCGCTGCGGGCACTATGGGGCACGGGGGCGCTATGGGGCACGGGGGGTCCCTGCGGGGCGCCGGGGGGGTTCTCCTCCTGGCCCCCCCCCAACCCGCAGCCCCCCAGCAGCTGCTCCAGCTCCCAGCGCTCTGTGGCTGTGGGAAGGGGGGGCCGCCGGGGGGGGCTTTGCGGCGGCAGATGCTCGGCCGCGGGGGGGGCCGTTTCCCACGGGGTTCCCCCGGTGCCCCCCCCGTCCTGCACGAGGAGGTTCTCATCCTGCGGCCCCCCCGCTTGCGTCAGGTCTGCGGGAACACGGCGCCTTTAGGGGGGGGGCGGGAGGGACCCCGCTGGGTTGGGGTCCTTTTAGGGTGGGGTCCCATGGGGCTGCCGCCCCCCCGCACCCCCCCGCACCGTCGCTGCTGTCCTGGTGCCGCGCATTGAAGCCGTGGAAGGAATCGCGCCGCACCGCGGGGTCCCACGTGCACAGATCCACACCGACGGCATCGCGGGGGGGCGTCCAGCCTGGGGGGGGGGGCGACGGGGGAATTGCGGGTTGTGGGTTTCTGAGCGGTGGGTTTCTGGGGT